ACTATGGTAAACAGGGGAAAAAAAGGCCAAAACTAGAGAAAAAGTTGCACAATTTTGTGAGCAAACAACAAACTTTGCAATTACTTGGAAATATGTGTGGCTTTTGGACATTTTAGTGCTGCACTTTGGCAAGCAATTAATGGCTGAGTACTGGCCTGGAGGTGGGAAGTCACACAACGGTTCAATTGTGTGCCATGAGAGGGAATTGTTTGCGGATACGAACGAAAAACTCTCACCAAGCAACATTTTGATTAAATCAAATGAGGTGGTTGTTGGAATAAGGCAGCCAGCCCATAAGCACTTTAACCCTAGATGGTTGTTCCAAGTCCAATCAATGACGAACATTTTTTAATGTGCTTGAAGAGTGCAAACGTGCAGATGACTAGGCCTTCCCTAGATAGGAGTTCTAATAATTCTCCTTATCGAATCGGTGAAGAACAAGCAATTTTTTAACAAAGTTTAAAATAATCTTCTTTAAACTAAAGTGCTTTATTAGTTTTACAGTATTATTTCTGCAAATAGAAGAAAAAATTGTCTAAAGTCCGATTTAAGTAACCAATTTTTGCGATTGCAAGGAAAACTATCTGGAGCTTAGTCGAAATATAAGATTGATTTTTTGTATAATGTTAAATTCCTAAGAATTTAATTTTAATTAAATTTCATCAAAAAAAAATTTAGATTTTTTAAAAATGTAAAAACGGAGAATTTTGTGTTTAGGGATCGAACAAGAACAATTTAGTAGTCGTTTCGACGAAGAACCACCTTAGTGTAAATAATAAGAACAACCATCTAGGGTTAAAGCTGAAAAGCAGATTTCTAATAATAATATTTAAAGAACCTTGTAATAGTGGGAGGATAATCGCCTCCTTGAAGCTTAGAGTCAAATATAAATATCCAATGCAACCTATTGCACCATAATTCGAGGCCTCAGTCAGACATCGAAATACTCGCAGGTTGTGGAAGGACGTTTATTTCGGTGTTGCACAACAAATTGGAACAGAAATAGCCAAAGCTGTCTCATCTTGCTAACTGCTAACTGCGCTAATTAGAGCGGTTATCAAATTTGATTTGCTAATTATGCTAATTGGCTTGAAGGACAACTGGACAGGAGAGAAATGCATTCACAGTAAATTCGTAGCTAACATAAATTTTCATTTTCGCATTTCGGTTGTTCGCATCAAATAGTCATAAATGAAAAGCATCTAATTATTTATTCGCCATGGCCAGGCTGATTATTTTTGGCCAAACACTATGCTAAGTGCCGGCACATTACTGCGAAAGTGCAAACTGGTCGGCAACATGGACCTTCAGTGTGCCCTGCATTTAGCAATGTAATTATTAATCAAATGAGAAGGCTAAGTGGTTGCCTTGAAATTAAAAATTAAATTAATAAGTTAATTAGTTAAGTAGTAGTTGGAAGCTATGAAACAATCAATTAAAAGTCACAAAAGTAGTGTTCAAAGTCAAGAAATAGCTTCCTTTTCTTCACTCGATTCGATTTATATGTTTTTGAACTCCAATGATTTGGACTTTGAAAAGTGACGCCCAAAGAAGTCTACCACTTTATTGTCCTTTTAACACTGACAAAATGTAATACAGGGACTCTACGCTGATTTCTATATTTCAGTAAAATAGTTCAAAAGATATCGCCAGACAGACAAACTTAGTCTATTCTACAAAGCAAAAACAAAACTGTGGTTAATCAACAATTCTACACAGAGAAGCAGCTAATTTTAAAAGTTTATAATTCTTAAGATTATATATATTTATAGAACGAAAACTTTAACAATTCTTTTCTGAAATATAGTCCGTTATTTATAGAATAGTTGCATTTGAGCGAATTTGTGAGCAAAATATTTGCTTGTCTGTCCAGCACTTAACTATTCCAATGGCTTCAGTTTTCTTTTAAATGGAACAAGAAACTATAGTAAAGAGATTATAGAAGTTTTAGGCTTGCATTTTATCATCAATTCCCGATATGTTGATATAAATTGTACTTTCGATATACAAGTATTATGCTCGTATTATCAGCTCTAAGTCGTCACTACATCGCCGATGTGTGTCGGACAATTATGCAGGGTATGCGGGCACTCGGTAATGTAAGTGGATAAGTGGCACTAGTTAGTGGAGTGCATGCCAATGGCGGTGACGAAAAGTACGTGCAACACCGACATGCCCCAGCAGTTATGTGCATTGTGGGGAACGTGAAGCACCCGATGTGGTAACATTATCATAGCAACGCAAACATTTCCACGAAATGTGTAGTCAAAATAAATGAAACTAATTAAAATAGTTGCCCAAAGGACTATAATTTAATTGACATTTGAGTGCTCGCAGGACACTAGAGAAGCCGTGTCAGTCCACACCATGATGCGTGCGTGTCTGTAAGTGTGTGTGTGTGTGTGTGTGAGGGTGGGCGAGCATCGGGGAGCTGGCGTGAAAGTTGACTTTGCATTTTTGGCCATAATGGAGGAAATTGTAAACCTCGGCCAAACAGTTTTCCATTGCAAATAGTGCGCATTTAGGAGCTCAGCCCGACTACGAGTACACATTCTAACATTTTTTTGCTGACCAGGCCAGAATGCTTGCAGCGCTAGTTGAGCAACTGACCGAGCTGGTAATTGCCAAGCCGCGCGGCAACAAGCGCCAAGCAAACATTCCCTGCTCCCTGCTTCCTATTCCTTCAAACACCCCGCATACCAGATGCTATATGCCACATGCCACATTTGTCGCACAACCGGCACTCGTGTTGCCCTTGGCATTGGCCAATTCATACTGCGCCATTGCAATTTCCGCTCCAACTGCTCCATCTACGACTATCGCACACAGCCACTGGCATTTGGCCACTGTGGTGGATGAAGCAGAAATCGCAAGCTTCGAGCTGCGAATCGCGATTTACCGAACTGCACACTAATCGACAATATTTGTTTGACAAACGCTACTACCTTTTTTTTTTTAAATCATTTATGTATACTTGTATATAATAAATCATTTAAGTCGCTTGAACATATATAAATGCCAAGCTGACTGGCCGTCTAAGGCCACTGAAGAAAGCGAGCTTCAATTTAGACTAATTCGATGTGTCCACTAAGCCTTGGAAAATTCGACCCGCAATAGGGAAAATATTTAGTTCGATACTTCATTTATACAAGAAAGGTTTACTAAACAGTACACTATATACAAATATATATTAATGGATTTAAAATTAAAAACTATTTGTGGAAAAGGAATACAACTAGAAATGCTAATAAAGGGAAATCTTTATCTCATAATAATCTCCCTTTAGTTTTGAAAAAGTGCTTGGTGCAACTTTAAGCAACGGTTCAGGCATTTTCTTCATCGAAACATATTTATAGTTGTTGTATCACATCGAAAATTGTACATATATATAGTTTATACTCGTATGTACTATCAAGTAGTTCTATAGGGAATCGAAGAACCTCTCACAAATCTGCTTCAGCCACATCCTGATGTCGTCCAGTGTAGCCTTAACGCACAACATCTATTTGCTTCTAGTTAGTAGTTGCAACAGCAACAGCAGCGGCAGCAGAAGCAGAAGCACTAACCGGAACTCGGACGCACCCCAGGACCACTTTATTTCCGCTTCACAAACCTGCGATGGCGTATTGAAGAGTACCTGTGAGATGAATTTGCTTGTGTAGGCTGTGCAACATATAAAAGCCAGAATCGTTCATTTAAACTCGAAAATATATTTATACAAGTATAGTATATACCTATACTATGAAGTATAGTAGGTGCTTGAGGATTGTGTGCAGGCAGTTATTGGTCATCGACGAAAATAATTTCAATATGTTTAGCCAACATTTCCTAAATTATCACTACAATTAGTAAAAAAAAAAAAAAACAAAAAAATTCAAAAGGAAAATGACTTAAGAGACAATCTGACCTCCATTCAATAATTATTATTTTGGTTTTAAAATTATATTTATTCCTAGGTGCCTTCAATAACAAAAGAAATTAATTTATAAAAATAAGATTCTGAGTATATGACCTTTAGCAAAATGCACAAGTCAATTAATAAAGATAATCTTCGAGTTCATTAAGAAGCGTCTCATAGATATTAAAAATGTTCAACCAAGTACCTAACAATAATCTGTTGGTTGTCGAAAAATGAAAAACATCTTCTTAGGTCAAGCATAAATTTCGAATATTTCGGAAAACAATGTGGAATTCGTTTCAAAACACCTTCAACTTTTCTTAGCGGAGGAATTAATAAAAGTGCCTTTCTATTTACAACTATTTATTTATAGATTATACCTATAAAAAGGGGTAACAACTTAAGCTACTTGTCTACTTTTTAAATTAAAGAATTTATTTAAAAATTATTTTGTACTTAAAATGAAATTCGTCCCAATTCGAAATATTTCACACAACAGTCTATATATTTTGTTATACAATACAATTCCTTCCACCTTTCTTAGCTGAGTATTTTATTAAAGATCCTTTCTATTTACCTCAAAAAAGAAGAATAAAAACTTAAATTAAGTAGTAGACGATATCCTGCTATTTGTCGAGGAATGAACCTCTTTTCTTTAAGGAATTACTTCGTTCTCGGAATGAAATCGTCCCAACTCGAAATATTTCACAACAGTCTATATATTTAGTTAAACAATTCAATTCCTTCCACCTTCTATTTACCTATAAAAAGGAATAAAAACTTAAGCTGAGGAATGAAACTCTTCTCTTTAAGGAATTACATCGTTCTCAAAATGAAATCGCCCCAATTCAAAATACATACTTTACAAAACTGTAGAATTCGTTGCACTTTACAGTCTATATATTTTGTTATACGAGTGTGTACAATTCCTTCCACTTTTCTTAGCTCAGCAACTCGTAGAAGTTCCTTCCATTTGATAAAATCTAGAATCTTATTGCCAATTAGTTTCCTTGTACGTTTTAGTTTCTTGAAAAAAAAAACTGATCAACTCAATACTAATATGAATTCTGTATTTTTTTATGCACCCCCTCCCCTCGCACAGATCCACACACAAGGATGAGTTTGGCACACAGCGAGTCTACAAGAAGACCTCCCCGAATTGCGTGCTCACATTGTATTTACCGACGCGGGAGATAACGCTGACGGGCAACAGTCCATCCATATTGCGCGGCATTGTCTTTGTCGATCCGAAGGCCATACAAGGATACCGAGTCTATGCGCAGTTGACGTTGACATTTCGGTAAGATTTCAGAACACGAAGAGAAAAAAATGGCACAGCAGAGGAATGGAGAGTGGGCGAGCGGAAAGAGCAAAGCGACAGGACAGTTGACAGTCAGATAGTGTTAGTTGTTCCAAAAATTGAAATTGTAATTTCCACTTGACTGCAAGTCAACTGCTGCCATGCGCCTGCCTCTTCTCTGCCTATCTGTCTGTCTATCTGTCCGTCTGTTTGTCCGCCTGTTTGTCTGTCAAGCATCTGCGGCCTGTCTGACAAAATGTGCCTGCTGACTGTTCATCCTTGCTCTACTTATTGTTCTCATTGTTGTTGTTTTTGTTGCAGCTATGGCCGCGAGGACGAAGAGGTGATGGGTCTGCGCTTCTGCAACGAGGCCATCATGTCGTTGCATCAGATTTGGCCGCGCAATGAGGAACCAGCTCGCGAATCGTTGAGTCCGCTACAGGTAAGCAAATAAAAAATCGATGTATTAAGCCCACTCGCCCTCCTCATCGATGCACCCTCTTCAAAATGCAAGTGCAAGTTGTTGCGAGTAAAGGACACACGTGCAACGTCACGATTGCTCTTAGCTGGACCAACAATCGTCTGTTGACCGTCTGCCTGTGCTCGAGTGAGTGTGCAAATAATGTGAAAAGCCTCTTAAAACGAGCACTTTGACGAGTGCAACGACAAGCACTTGACAAAGCAAACAAATAGCGGACCCGCTTCCAACGCCAGCTTCAGCCATCAGCCATCAGCCAACAACCAACAGCCAAAAGGGACAGTTTTTAATATAAAAGCGGTCCCGTGCAACTTTGTCTGTCACATACAGAAGTTATGACCAGCATCGAGTCAGACATTTATCATCTGCTAAGCATCTTAAATGGGCGAGCTGGTTTGAACATCAAATAAAGTTCATAAATAAGTTACATATCTATGGTTCGAGGCAACAATAAGAGCCAATTCAGCAGCGTTTCCCAGAAAGCAAGCAGCAGCGAGCAAAGTGGAATTTTCTATTTTAAACGGCGATTATAACACGACAACGATGACACTATGTAAAGGCAGAAGCAGTCGTAGCTTCGATTCGCTAATAAAAAAAATATACACATATATAATAAATCATTCAAGTCGCTTAAACATATATAAATGCCGACTAAAGCCACTGAAGAGAGCGAGCTTAATTCGGTGTGATCCCGAGGCCGAGGCCCGAGGAAAATTCGACGCGCAATTGGGAAAATATTTCATTCAATGTTTCATTTATACAAGAAAGGTTTACTAAACAGTACACTAAATTTATACTCAGTGAATTATGACCGCAATATAATAAATACATATATTTATGGATTAAAAATTAAGAACTATTTGTGGAAAAGGACTAGAACTAGAAGAGCTAAATCTTAATCTTTATCTAATAAATGAACTATGTCTTTACAACTCCGACAATCTTCCTTTAGTTTTGAAAAAGTGCCGGTTCAAATCAATGACCAAATCAATAGCCAAATTTAAGATCGTCTGATATTAATAGTCTTTGTTGATTATAACAAAAATCCAATAAAGATAATGAACAGGCATTGAGACTCGAAACAAAATAGTAAAGTGTATTTTTGTTATTTATTAAGCAAAAACAGAAAGCTACAAAGTAATCGATGCAGCAGCAAAAAACAGAAATTATCAATGAAGAAAAGCGAAATCCTTCTTTTGTGGAGATTTTTTTTTTAATATTAAAGTCTTGCTTTTCGAATTAAAAAAAAACTTTAAAAATGGTTGGTTAACATAAGTATTTAAAACCAACTGTTCTTTATAAAAAATGTATAATAGAAGTAAGCAATTAATAATTGTCGCACAAAACGTACGTCCGTTGAGAAGCAAACCGATTTAGAAGAAGAATTAACATAATTCTTGGTACCAAGTCTACGAATAACAACTCTAAGTTAATTCTATCGAGTCAGCCATAATTGTAATCCACAACATAGAATTTTAATCATAATATTAATAGGTTCTGATGCATTTACTTGTATATACTCGCAGATGCAGATGCATGTATATGATTGCCATTCATTTTGAATTTTAGTGGCCATTAAAAGGAGCCAATTTAAAAAGAATGATACATGCTCGCGTATTAAGAAATAATTGATGATTAAGCACTCGAATACGAGTATAACGACAATTATAATGAGAGAGGGGCACACGTGTCCTTATAATTTGGGCATCCTCGTTTCTATTGCCGAGTCGCTCAAGCAGCTGGGGCTTTGCTTCCGGTGCCAAACACCTCGATTAATGGCTGTTGGCCTGTAAACATGCCCCCCCCCTCCCCCCTCCCTCCTTGCCACAACACGCTACGAGCGTCTCATGCAATTCTTCAGCCACAGTTGACGCAGAAGCGTGCCAAACACACGCCTTCAACCTACTGCGAGCGCTGCTCCGACATGCAATATTTTATGGCCAAATGTTAGCCAAGTTTTATGTTGGCTCACACACACAAACACACACACCTCTATATATATATATATATATATATATATAGAAGAATATATAGAGATACATATGGGCAGATGTAGTATGTATGCTACGGTTATTGTAAAAAGAAAAAGAAAAAGGTAAACGGCAGCGCTTCAGGTCGCTCGCAGTTCGATGCACTTAAACCAATTCAAAATCAATTTAACTAAAAGCTAGACAAGTGTGTGTGTTTGTGTATGTGAGTGTGTGTGAGTGTGTGTGAGTGTGTGTGTGTGTGTTCTGGTGCCAAACTTGAACGATTCTTTTATTAGTTTAGACACACAACAATTTATGTTCTATTCGTTTTTGACTGCCACACGTCTCGCTGACATTTTGTGGCCATTGTGTCCGTTGTTGTAGTTTTGTCGCCCTGGGTGCAACAAACCCAGGCCCGAACCCGAGCTTCCCCAATTCAATTAGGCAACCATTTTTCTCACCTCCTCCCCCGGTCTGTCCGGTCTGACCGGTCTCTCTTGTGTGCCTTGCCATAGGCTCAGTTCGGGTCTTCTTGGCATACTTTTCTTGCCTTTCGACTCAAACACACATAATTAAATAAATTTGATTTTAATAACTTGCCGAAAAGCAACGGCAGAGCAACATAAGCAGAATGCAAAGCAAAAAGAAAAAAGAAAGCTCGTGAACTTTTTCTCCTTTGTCTACTCAAATCGTTGCTAGCAGGATATGCCAGAATATTGAATATCCTGCAGCCTGGGCCTGACGGTTCATTACTTGTTCGTCTTTGCATCCCTTTCGAATTTCCCGATCAGAATAGAATTTACAGGCGAGCTAGAGCAGAGTCGAGAACTTCAGGTCACTTTGTACGCGTTATAAGAATTAAATTAACAATTCAAAAGGGTTCTCACATTCAGCAAACCTACAGGTATTTCTTTTTTTTTTTTTGCTTGAAGATTCCGGATTGTAATTCATTTATAGTATATTACAGGGACCGCAAAAACTGATTTTTTTTTTAAGCCAAAAAATCATTCACTCTTAGAAGCTTTAAGAAAATATCCCTCTCCTTCTTTTAGAATGCTCTAATTAAAATTTAATTTAAATTCATTCCCTCACAATATAATGATTAATTTTGAGCTATACTTTACAATTCAACCAATAATCATTATTTTTAAGCAAAATAATGAAACTCATAAAATAATGATTATTCTCTAAGTATTATTTTTTTGTATCAAAAATAAAACTCAAAACTAATCATTATTTTGTAAGAGAATAAATAAAATTTAAAAATAATTTATTTTGTAATTTTTAAAAGACCACTTATATTATTTATTAACAGAGACTTTAAATACTCTTTAAAAATTGTTGATCTGAATGACAAGAATACCCTTTGGTTCACTTCGCCTTAATAATTGTTGTTAAAGGTATAGATGATAACCTTTCGATGTTTTTTTCTCTCTTGGGTACTAGTTTTTATTTTAAAAATAGTCATGGAATCGCTTTTGAAAAAACATACATTTCATATGACTTCAAAGAATCGATGGTTAACATTTGAAAACTAATTACATAACATCACTTGTAAAGAATTGTTTTGAGCTTGCAATAGTTTTAGTATTGATAACAGTTGGAACTAGAAGAGATCAAGCTATGATATCAGCATTGATCTAATTAATGGAAAACCTCTTTTTTTGTGGGGACAATACTTTCAGCCAAATATTTCCAGCAATCTTTTTGTTTTTTTGGGGGGGAGGGGGGTGGGACAATACTTTCTACCTAATATTTCGAGCAATTTCCTGACATATTGTGAATACGTGAATATTTGTGTTTTTGTAAATTTAACAATCATTTTGGCAGTCTTCAAAAATCGCTGTCGCTTCAATTCATAATACCCTCTCACTTAGGTGGAAGGGCATAAAGAACTGAAATTGAATAGACAAAGTTGGGGTCGAGTGCTGATGGGAGACCGGGGAAATGAAGCAGAGTTTATTTATCACTTAGCCTGAGCTGGCGAAGCTGGCTGGCTCTTCAGGGATAAGAAGCATGCTGCTTGAGCTTTAGCTTTAGCTGGCATTAGGACAAGTCCGAGAGTTGCGATAGCAGCTGAGATGTGCAGCCTGGTTTCTGGTTAATCCTCTTTGGCAGCGGTTACCAGGGGTGATGACCAATTTGTAGCCATGTGGCAGACCTTTGAAATGCAAAGCGGTGCTTCATGTGTTGATGAGAAGAAGCATTTACTTGATGCCACAGGTTGCTTCCTTGCTAGCTCGTTTAAGTAGCAGAGTGTGCTCTGGGGAAGAGTCACTTCTCCTGTTGCTGCTTTTCTTTGCTTTCCTTGTTGCTGCTTTGGACAAGGCCAGAACCACGCCCATCCCCACCCTCATCCCCATTCGCACTCGCGGCTATAGAGCTGAATCTACGGCTCTCGAGGCCCATCATCATTTAAAATTAGAGCAAAAATGTTGCCAGCCAACGGCTCTAGCTGGAAATGCCTGAAATACTTTTCGTTGGAATGGCTGCAAGAAGTCTCTGGTTGTCAGTCATTGTTGCTTTTGCTTTTGCTTTTGCTTTTGCTTTTACTGTTTTTGCCAGTTACCAGCGGCAACCTGTCAGATAAGATATACACACACACACACACCGACTCACACCCATATAGGGAAAAGGCAGCATTTACGTAAAACGCGCATGATGTGTAACGTCAAATTAGAATACGATTTGAATTTTATTCTGCGAATTAATTTAATGCCAAGCCATAATTGTGTGAAAATAAATATTTCTGCTGCAATCATTAGCAGCGAGAGAATAGGGGTGCCTCAATAATAATGACTAACAATTAGAGTGGGTCGAGCATAGGAAAAAACACAAATCCAATTAGGGTCAGTTTTTTGAGCCAACTTCTACTCGATTTCTCATAATTATTTGTCCATTGATGGCATTTGATGCGTCCTTATTTTCTAATCGCATGGATTGGTTCTCTTCAACTCTTGCAGGAGGCTCTGGTAAAACGTCTCGGCGATGGCGCCCATCCATTCACATTATCCTTGACAGCACAGGCGCCACCTAGCGTGCAATTGGTGCCCGCTAAACGTTACTATGGAGCCCCCATTGGCACTAGCTACGACGTCCGCTGCTTTATTGGTAAGTTCTGCATTTTAAACTTTAAACCAATTGCATTACAGAGAAATATGCATACTACATTCATATTAGATCATATATAAATATATATATAAGTTTGTGCTAAATTTGCAATCTTTGGAAGAAACAAAAGATCCCTTGTAGCTTCAAGACCACAAACAGAATTGATTCAAATGATGATCTGATTATTTGGTGGAATTCTGTGACATAGAACAAGAGTCGAAGATGTATATTTTCCAACTTCAATTGCTAGGAACTATCGAATAGGCCAAAAGTTGTTCCCAGCACTACTGAGCAGCCAAGGAAATGAACTTTGAGATAAGATACTTGTATTGAGTGAAATTTCCATCCAACAGCACGAAACATAGAAGAGATTGATACATCCGTGTGGGAATAGTAAAATATATATACTCTTCGAATTTAGAGGGAGCACTATCCCTCTCTGTATTCTGCGCCACAGAACGAATGGTGGAGAGGTGTATTTTTCAACTTTTTGAAAGAAATAAATAGTTGTTCTCAGCAGTACTGAGGAGCCAAGGAAATTACCCTTCTATCTTTAAAAAATACCCTATTTTGTGGACCAGGCCCAACTCCATTACTAATGAGTGAAAATTCCAACCAACAACACGAAAGAATGAAGAAGATTGACACATCCGTGTGGAAATAGTACAAATGTATAAGAATATATATACTTTGACGCAAAATATATTATGGTCAGGCAATTAGTGTCGATTTGGTGGGCTATCGCTTTAATTTGGCAGCTCCACAGAGCGTAAGGACACTAATTAAATTGTGTCCTTTGATTGATATGCACATCGTATGTTTAATTCGACACAACTTACAGTCCAATTATTCACGTATATATGTATATATGTAAGTATGTTATGTATGCATGTGTATACAGTTTGGTGTGAATATTTTTTTCATATTCTCACATGGCCGGCCCGAACCCTCGCACCTGTCTGACGTCAACAGTTCTTGGTATTGGGGCATTGGAAACGTTTCTGATTGATTTTTGTGTGCCGTTTTTCACAGCATTTGATTTTTATTTTTACTTTCGTTTTTATACTCGTATACTATACTATATACTTGTAGTATATATGTATGTGTGTATTTTTTTCTGGTGCTGGGCGGGCCGAAAATTAATAAAAATAAAATCAATATTAAATGTGTGAAGCAAACGAGGCATGCACACACAGTTTTGTGTTGCCAGGTGGACTGGAACCGCTCGTGGCATTGTCCTTGCGCACGTCCTTGCCATCACTTGTCTCTTGGCATTTTCACAGCAACTCCGAGAGGACAGGTCCAACAGGATTGCTCGACTGCGAGACTGTGAGACATCTTCAGCTCAAGCCCTAACGAAATGTATGAGTATATTTCCTGTATGTTTATTATTACTTTTGAGCAATGGCAACGTGGCGTTGAGTCGTGTTGCGTTGCGTTGCGTTGCGTCGACAACAGCAACAAAGATAGCACTGCCAGCGGATATAGAATATCCTTTTTAATACACTGCCGAGATTTGCCAGCCATCAGCATTTTTCAAGTGCTTTCAATAGTTGGCACCCGGCTCTGAGACTCTGGGCTTCTGGCCCGAGCTACCAGCAGCGCACAAAGCTGCTTAGCAAATGTTTTCTTCTTTTATGTACTTCACTCCTTGTTGCTGTACTCGTATTTTTTTTGTATTCGCCTTTTACCTTTTCAAGCGCGATTTGTTCTTGTTGTTCCTTGTTATGCTGAAGCATTTGCGCACTTGCCAGACAGGCAGCCAGCCAGCCAGCCAGCCAGCCAGCTTTCCTTACCCATGACTTAAACGCACACACAAACTGTGTTCAGCTTTGTGCTCAACAGTCGTCGACCATCTTTATGACAGCAGCAGCTTAGAACCACTTACACACATACCCAGTGGTTCGATGGTGAGCGTGTGGTCAGCACCTTGGGCTAAGGCTGTATTCGACACAAAGATAGATAGATAGATTTGTATTGCTATCATTTGTAATATTTGTAATACATGTATACAATGGGAGAATAGAATCACTACAGTGATACAGCAATAGAGAACCCCTTTAGATGGCTACTCTCAACCATTGGAAGTAGCTGGCTGATATTCCCTGACTGCGGTCGAGTGGGCATAGTAGGTCAGGGTTAACATCATAAGAGATGAGTTAACCAGAAAGGGAACTATCCTGAGAACGGAATCTGTATGTCTTCAGTATCCTTCTGGTTTCTGGACAAGAAAATCATCAATGACCTAACCACAGGCCCCATAACTCGTGAGAAATAGACTGTGGTTCAAATAAAGAATATTCCAAAAATATTTGTATATGTCTTGGGAATAAAGTAGCTAACAACAACTCCTACTCGAAGGCCCCATCGACCGGTTGAATACCCACCCATTAACAGCCTTAAGAGGGAGAACAGAAGAGCCGAATTATGATAGAAAAGTCAAAATTGAAAATTATGTATAAAAAGTATAAACTTAGAGCGATCAGTTGTGTGTCTGTCGCAATATTATCCAAATCATGCCATACAGCTCTCACCTAATTGTATGTAAGGTTAAAAAAAGCTTAAAGCTAAATGACAAATTCGAAGACAAGAACATTACCAGAATTTTCAGAAGAGCAAAGCACGTTCAATAGTTGAAAATATAATTTTAAAAAGATGCCGATAGACATGAATTGAAAACAACTTTCTCCACTTTTCTAATAGAAGAAAAAAGATAAATTTAATAAAAGAAAATATAAGAAAAATTCATTTTTTAAGTGGAAATACTAACAAAAGCAAGCAATATCCAACGACATAAACCTATCATTGCTGTGTACTGGCTCAGCCCGGGAGCTGTGTATACACAAGTGCTAAGCTAAGACTAGCCAGCATTGGCTGACGAACGACAGGGGACGACTGGGTGTGCAAGGACGAACAGGCAATTGGTCAGCAAGGCAACAGCTGGCAACGAGGATGAGGAGGCGAAGCAACGCAATGGGAACTGCCGGCTTCGCGCCTTTAACGTCCGCAACGGAGCTGGATGTACAAATTGAATTGGATTCTGTTTTATTTTAATTATATGGCTTATCCGGATTCTTTTCATGAATGCTGAAATTTCTTATGCATACAAAATATTATGCATATGAATGACCACTTCAGATGCTTACAAATAAAACAATAACAGCAACAGCTTCAAGAAAAACGATTCGAAGAAATTCTACTTAGTAGCTACAGGAGGAATTGCAACGAGTTTCGCAGAAGGCTGCACACAATTTTCACTTTGATTCGTTTTCCGCTTCCTCGTATACTCGTCTATATGTAGAGGAGCTTCGGCTTAAGCCCCGGAACGAATACGTTCAGGAATGTGGAATACTGAATGCATTAAGAAGTGGCAAGAATCGGCAACAATTTTCTATTCCAAATGTCAGAAGACGCGTATTGATGTTCAGATTCAGCAAAGCAAAAAATCAGGCAAAAAGTTTGCAGACAAACTTTTCAAATGCATAGTTTCGTTTACGAATTTGTTTCTTTTGTCTTTTTATCTTTTCTACAAAAAATGATGTCAAAGAGTTCTAAAAAAAATTTGCTGTTCGTCTTTTGATCGATTTTTGTAATCGTAATAATATACTTGTATTATGAAGCAGATTCAAAAGTTTTAAAATAAAAGTCCAAAATTGCTGGAAACTTGCAGTATCAGTTAAATTATTTTGAAACGATAACAAAGCATTATTCCGGTAATATCTTTCATAAAGAAACTCAATTTTGCACCAAATAACCTAAAGGATTAGTTTAGGATATCAAAGCACACAGCACCAGACGAAGTTGTGTTTGTATTGAAGACTTAACTCCCCAGATAGTGGCAATATATAGTATACATATGTCGAACTTTAATATTGGTATTGGAAATATCAGGCATGCACTATAGATATAACTATTCAGCTGTCTTTGGTAGTGTTTTAATCTTCCAAAATCTCGATTAAAAGAAACAACAACAAATTTCAAAGTTGTATTGATTTTAAAAACATGGAACAGTCAGACTCTATCCTTTTCGAGTGCCGATTAAGAAACTAGTGTACCCTTTCACCCTTTGGGCACAGGGTATAAGAACCTTGTACAAAGGGAGCACTATTAATCTGATCAGATGATTTAGTTGATATCAAACACCTGCTTAAAACACTCACCTTTCAGAGCCCAAAACCGTTCAAATGAAGAAAACAATTTGTACGCGTTTTTCCTATTGTCAACATTTTTCGTTTTGGTGGAGCTAGAAAACATAGTTTTTTAGTTCAGTAGCTATTTATTTGAGGAATAAACTACAAGTAATATTTTTTTAGTTCTTTTAGTTTGTTCAATTTATTCAATCGATAAGTTACCTAAGTTCGTTCGCTCGTTTTGTTCAATTACAATAATTTGATTTGTTCTTCCGTTCTTCAACATGACAGTTTTAATTTATATTGAACGAGCTATTATTTCAAAGATACAAAAATGGGCGAATAAGGAATAATGAATGATATATACATATCTATAAAGACATAGTTTGTTTGAATGTTTTTATTGAAAAAAGCAAAATAGTTTCTCGCAACAAAATGTAATTAAACTAACTAACTAACAAACTATTTGTCATAAAAGCAATAAATACAAGAATATCCCAATACGTTAGTATATTTCTAAAAAAAAAAAAACATTAAATATTATTGAACTTTATGATCATCTAACAATGCTTTCTAATAAAGAAATTTCCCCTAATAAATTTAAAGTAGGAGGAGCTGCTATTTTTGCTGAACTTCATAAAAATCATCATAAAGTCATAAAAGGTATAAAATTCAACAAACTCTCGATAATTAATAAACTTCGTCTATTCAATCGCTCATATGAACTATTTTCCAAACAAAACCCCCATCTCCATAATTGCTGTACTATATACGAACCGCATTATCCTCAATATCTATCTTATTGTGAACAATCCAGCTAAAACAAATCCTACATGAATAGTATGTGTGCAACAGAAGAAAAAGCAATTCAATCCATTAAATCAACCAACAAACACCACAGCTAATATAGCTATATTTTTATATTTTTATTAGAAGTGGACTCCCAACTTTGTGTTCAAAGTCCTAATATATTCTTCATTTCGTTCAAAAACCTCACTAGATGAATTTAAAAAACTAAGCCCAAAGCCTTATTTCAGTAGTTTCTGAGTTTCTGATTATTGGCACTAGTTCAAGTCGGATAAACAGAGCGCTCGAAAAACTTGTAAAAATATTCAACATTTTTAAAATCAAAAATCTTTTCAAATATATTTTTTTAAAGAAATAATATTGTTAGAAAAAAGGACATTGCACTCATGTGGCATAATGTTATCGTTATATGTATTATTAGCAAGCGACATAGAGGCATTTGGGGTTATCACTGGCAACAACACAATGCTGACTTTATTTTTATACCCTGCACCCAAAAAGCAAAAGGGTATACTACCTAGTTAAGAGAGAAGGAGGAGTCGTGGCTGATCAGTAAGTCAGTTTAAACGACTCGATATATGTATGGCCACATGTATTTATGTCCGTCTCTCCATTTGTTTGTCTGTATGAACGCAAGAATCTTGGAAAGTATAAGAGCTAGCATAACCAAAATTTGTATTAATATTTCGCTTTGCACTAGGCAGCTAGAGTTTGTGTTTTTTCCTAGGGCAGCCTACCTGCCACTACTCTGCTACTAGTTTTTCTTCCACAGCTCCCTTAATTGTTGCAGTTTTGTAACCAATATTAAAGGCTAGTGCCATGTCAAATTTCGTCTTGATAGCTCAACTTTAAAGAAAGTTATAGCCATAAATGGAATCCATTGTTGTTACTATATTGCGGCTTTGACTCAACTCTGTACTGCACACATACACACAATCGCACACACAGACACCATCCCGATGTATGTAAATGTGTGTTATTAAAACATATGTATACTCGTATTTTTTACTTTCTTGTTAATTAATGGTTTTCATTTGAATGGCAATGTTTGAAATAATTTCTTAATAACTTAATTTTTTTCTGATTTTATGGCAGTGAGTAGAGGGTATTTGGGAGTTGGGCCCGCTCGACTCCAGCATTCCATTGTTGTTTTCCTTTCGCATTATCCTCTTAGTTGCCTTGGCGATGACATTATACTCGGCATACTCGCTGAACTCTTTATTGTGCGTAATAAGCGTAGTTCCTTCATTGTTCCTTAGAATAAGGCCAATAATCTGGGTATTTATTTTGCTCTCTGTCTCTCTGTCTCTCTCTCTCTGTCTCTCCATCTGTCTCTTTTCCAAATAGCGGACAAAACGGATGAGAAATTCCATCGTCGCGCCTCTGTGAAGATGGGTGTGCGTGTCATTTATAGGACCGATGTCTTTCAGCAGCATCTCGGAGCGGAAAACTTTGCCGCTCTTGGCCAGCAAGCACAGTCGCCGCCCACGAGCGCCACACCACCACTGGGCAACGATGCGACCGCTGCTGAGCAGCAGCATCCGCAGGCGGCACAGCAACCACCGCCACAGCCAAGTGGCAGCGGCAAGAGCAAGGTCAAGTCGGAGCGCGGCGATTCGTTTCCCAAGCTGCGCCTCTCGCCCAAATCTTTCCGCTTTAGCGGCCGCTTCGGGCGCAGCAAGAGCGAGATTGAAAAGTGTCCCAATGATCCGTTTCACAACTACAGCAAATCCTTTCAGGAGGTGAGTACCACACTCCTGTGATTAACTCTGATTAACTCACCACAATTCCAATTATCACCGTTTGCAGCAGTGCGACAGCGGCAGCATGCTGCCGCCCAGCAGCGGCGCCGGCGTCACCGGCGGCATTGGCGGCATCAGCGTCGGCCCGTGCGGTGGCCCCCAAGGAGCCGTCGACAAGCCCTTCTTGCTACAGGACGGACGCGTCGGACTACGCGCCAGCTTGGACAAGGCCTGGTATACACATGGTGAGGAGGTCAACGTTACAGTGAACATTCGCAACGACAGCCGCAAGACGGTGCGCAAAGTCCGAGTAAGTTCACCAACATTTTTGAACTGACACCACGAAATATTTCAAGGCGGCTTGTGGAAGAAAAATCGAACAATTGTTATTTTTTACATTGTTCTATTGCTTGATTCTACAAGTATATATAAATATATATAAAGTGAACTTGCTGCACAAACAGGCCGCCAAAATTATAAAACAAGCTCGTGAATATTTACAGGGTATTCGAAGTTAGCAACTTAGTGGCGAAAGTAAGAAATTTCGGAACTCAATTGATGTCAAACATTTCTGATATAAATGTTGTGACGAAATAATTCGGAATCTGTTAAGTTCGATTAGATGGGAAAGTACATATACTTGTATTTAAAAAACAAGTAGGGAAGCTAAAGTCGACTTTGAAATACTCTGTACATATGTTTAGAGTGATTATAGAAATTCAAAAAATTATGAAAATGAAAAAAAAAATGGGACCTATTTCAAGATTTCAAGTTCACTAATTGCGAAGGAGAGGGGGAAGGGAGGGAAATCCCAAAACACACAATATCATATAAGGCATCTGGGACTAAAATTTGGTGCCACTAGGTCTTATAGTCTCCGAGATATAGGCGATTATACTAATGGAAAATCGGGAAAACCCCCATAAAGGGGAAGTGGGGGAGAAAATCAAAAAAAAAAAAAAAAATTAAAAACGTATAGCGTCCACACATAAGGCATCTTTGTGCAAAATTTTGTGTCTCTAGCTCTTATAGTCTCTGAGATCCAGGTGTTCATACGGACGGATGGACAGACAGACGGACAGACAGACAGACAGACAGATATTGATCGACTTATATACACTTTGTGGGGTCTGCCACGCCTCCTTCTGGCTGTTACATTTTTCAGTTCGCGCAAACTCAATATACTCTTGTACATTTCATGTATACAAATTATATTCAGACTTCTTTTAAATAATGCTCTGATACAAAAATGAAGAAATTTCGCATCCATAGATAGGTATACTAAATAGACCTTTCCAGCGACATTCCCCCTGGTCAGAGCCTCACATAATGGTAAAAGTGCCAGAAGAAAAATTTCTTTTTTTGTTAATAAACCTGCTCTTCCTATGGCTAAGAAATATACCATGTTTTATGTACCTAGGTGTTATAAAAAGTTCTCGGTGTTCATATATCTATAAAATGGGTCTGCCACGCCTCCCTCTGCCCGTTACATTCATCTTTCGTTTGGGCACGGGTTAGAAAAACAAATCATTCGATTGATTGGAACTTCAGTTTTGGGGCTCCATTTTTGTTCAGAAGAAAAAGAAACGTTTTAGGCATTCTAGGAGGTTTGTAGTCCATGCTAGAATTTTTACATTGACTGACAGCATTTTGATGTGGTCGTAAGCTTTGAAAGGCATGCCTTATTGTGGCTTTCGAAAACGTATCGTTGAACAAAGTCGAATTGGCTCAAATCATACCACCACTATGTTGGCCAACTACGCCTTAAATATGCAAACACTGTGTTGCCACACAGCAAACACTATGTAGCAACAACATTAGCAGCAACAACAGCAAAAGCAACTACAACAAGCTTGTTAAACACATCCTTAATGCCATTATACACAGGGTAGAGAAACGCTCAAAGTTTTGCCTGCGCTGTCAGACATTTCCCATTTTCACTCTCGACATGCCCCCAAACACGCCCCCTCTTACCCTACCCCTTTGCCAACGTTAACGTCATCGTCAGCGTCTTCGTTGCCGTTGCTGTTACTGTTGCCTTCTTTCTTTTCTGTGGGAAAGAGGCAAGTTTATAACTGCAGCGGCATAAAATGAATTATGTGCCCCGTCGTCGTGGCGAATTGTATTAGGCTCAGCAACAGCAACAACAACAGCAAAAAAGTAAAGCGACAATGACAGTAACGTCAACGATAGAAATTGCAACAAAGCTGCATGAACCGGGCAGTGGCATGTTGCGCCATACAATGACAGTAGGGCAGGTCGAGGTTGGACAGTCCGTCAAGCGATGGTTGAGGGACAATGGAAAACGAAGATGCACATACGGCTTGGAAATACGAAATCACAAGTTCCGGAGTTGGCACAAAATAGTAACAATAATATGAACATCAAATTTATATTTTTCAAATAACAAATACACTTTTGCAGCGAACTCGATTGAGGAAAGTACTAAAAAAAACGGCGAAAATTTGCAAATATTTCAGCAGAGTTTACAAACAAAATATTGTTCATTTATTTACGTGCTTTTTGGTTTGTAAATTTGTAACACCCAGAAGAAAGCTTGGTAGCCGGTTGACGAATCCAAATCGCGATTTCCCTCTCTGTATTTCAATCCCCACTCCTCGTACAAAAAGCTATCGCGATGAAAATTAGCAGCCAACAATAGGCTTTATTTAAAAAATATAATTATCCTGCTCATTACTAATAAACATTTAATGCAATGCCAAATGAAATTTAAACGTTTCTCGCACTTTTCCAGCAACATACACATACTTGTAATATTTAACTGGCTGCAATATTTATATTTATTTATTTATTGTAAGTACGAGTATAAATAACAATGCAGTATAAGAAAATATTTTTGATATTGTAGTTGAATAATGAATATGTTAAGCTAATTAAAGGCCATGCGGAATATTTCAACAAAAAGTATGCAGCATACTGGCATAAAACAACGATGTAAGAGTGGCTTCGTATGTTATGGCCAAATCTGCAGGCCGATTCCGCAGCATAAAAATTAAAAAACAAACAATAAAAGAAAAATATCGTTTTCTGGCTTTACTTTCGCACAAGCTGACTGCAATGTTTTTTTTTTAAATAATTCTTTTATATATAGCCACTTATTTAAGCTTTCACTTTTATAGGCAGCTGGATTATGAAAATGTTGAGGTTATTGAATATAATTTCTTTACTTTCAAGTCAAGGCACTCAAGTATATTTATTTCTTTTTTATTTATTTTTATAAATGTACTAGTCACAAAAATTTAATTTCCTTAGATATTAAAAGGCTGAATATTTCAAAGCTCAATCGAAATCGCGATTTCTTGATTTTTCTGACTAAAAGACTTATACTTTCAGATGACATATAGAAAATGTGTTTAGCAAATAGTTACTTTCATATTCATATGTGAAACAATTATTTAGTTTCACTCTTTAGTTGAAGGTATATGGGGAACGTGACTTGACTTTTTCTTCAGACTAACATATCCAGGAATAAACGCAAAGTAAATAAATGTTTAAAATTTTCCTAGCATGCTCGTCAGTTGTGATTCACAGTCACTGTTCGGATTGAGAAAAATATCACAATTGCGAGCAGCTCTAATGAATGGACGATATATGTATCTGTAGACTGACGATGGCTCTGCCTGTTGATGTGTCCTGTGTGTGTATATATGTGTGTGTGGCATACAAATATGTAAATATAAGCGTATTAAACCGTGCTGGTCGGGATCATGAGTGTTGGGTACTGGGAGGTTCAAGTTGTGGCGGGGCAGTACAGGATACAACTGCGATTTTCAGTTCGGTTCGGTTCAGTTCGGTTCAGTTCAGTTGAGCTTTGGTCCACGGACGTGGTGCACATGATGATGAAATGAGCTTGTGCTAGTTTTATTGCACACTTTATAGTGCAGCGGCGTCTGTAATAAAAGCAAAGATAAGGCAGCAGGCAACAAAACGAGTATACGAGCATACTATGCGTAGGAGCAGCTTTTGCCTCCATTCACAATTTATGGCCGGGACATCATAGCTCGGCAATTGTACGTACGCTTTAAATTGAGTGCTAGGAATGAAAGCCAACAACAAACGTACATGCCTCTAAACTATGTATTTAATTACATGTGCACACAAATTACCTATTTTGCATTCACACATCCGGCCACACATGTGATTGATGTTTGCTCAGGCGTTAAGACTTGATTTAGATGCAACGATATATATGCGAGTCCATACTACAAGTATACGAGCATTATAACAACACTGGCCAACAGAACAGTTTCAGTGCTCAGTCAAGTCATAAATTAAGTCTGCAATAAGCGCCAGAAACTCAACGGCTTCTTCTGTCCCAGCCATTAACTACAAGTATATGTGAGTATTTGCATCTGCAAAATATTATCTCCGCTCATTAAATATTAGCTGAGTTGTAATACTGTGGACTTAAAATTTAAATCAATATTTGTATCGAGAAAGCTGCACCAAACATTTCAGACATTTCAGGAAAGCATAATTGTTTTAAATTTTCCTTTGATTTTATTTATTTTGAAAGACTTCTTTATGCCTGGAACACACACATACATTAAAACCAATCTCAAATGTTGCGGTGAAAAAATGCTGCTGTGTAAGAAGGAGCTTTATTTCCACAGTACTTCAATACAATCCTATTAAACAAAGCATTTACTCAATATACAATTTAAAGGAGCTTTCCATCTTCAACTCTTTCAGGCATACAAGTATTTCGCTCACAAGGCTTTAAAATTTGTACTTCCTTTATAACTGATTATTTAAATGAGCTTTCATTTCCTGTGATTTTTCATGCGTTATTTTGTTCAAATTGTTTCGAATGAATGCAGTTTTTCATTCCACTACTTACATGTTAAAGATTTGAAAGGAAAATGCACTGAAATTACTGCACATTTGCGTCGCCTGTCGACACACAAACAAAAGGGAAGAGATCTCTCGTGTGCTTATAGTCTTACAACTGATTTATACTTAGTTTCAATTAACAACTTGAGGTTCAATATTGCACACACCAAAATTCCCTTCAGCTGCAAACAATCAACAACTAATCTGCAGATTTTAGTTTACACTTGACCGATACACTTGCCGGTGGATGTTAAGACTTTGTTCATAATAATGCCAAAGGGCATTGAATTGATTGAATGAATTGGAACCTTGTCGATCACACTGCAATGTGTGTGAGTGGCAGGTTATTTATGAGAGTGGGTGCTAATGGCAAATACGGGTACATGTGAGTAGGCTGCATGGATTCACATAATTATTCAATAACTGTCATTGCCAGATGCTGTGACTGCCCCTTTG